ATGACAGATGCCACCTCGAAGTACAGTCTCGGTGTGTACACCTCACCTCATGTGTCATACTTCTTGAACAAAGCGTTATATTCCACAGCCCTTTGTTGCAGCTCCACATCAATGCTGCTCCCATAAATAGAGACAACCTTCTTTATACGGCTGCAGAAAAGACAAGACGGTCAGGCAAGGGAACATAGTAATAAGGAAACCAAGTCTGAAAGTGATTGCAAACTTAACCCCTTGGCGCCCTCCCGGCCCTTTAAGGGTTTCAGAAGCCGGGAGGCGGAGCGGGGTTTAGGGTCATGTGACCGCCATGATTCGCGTCACATGATCGGGAAAGGTCTCGATCGAAAGAGGAGATCAGGACCTTTCCATAAGTACCGGATGTGTGCTAGGAAGAGCGTTCTCAGCACATATGTTTTTTTTAATTGCACACAAATGTGCGGGACGCTCGGCGTCTAGGCCCAGACGCCGGGAGGCTGCACATTTGTGTGCAGCCGGCGTGAAGAGGTTCCATTTTTTTTAAACCACAAACATGTCAAACTTACTTGCTCGGTCAATGGTTTTTGAGCAGCTCCAACTTCTTGGGTGCCACGCACCGAGTGCCCACCATAGCAAGCCACTTGCTATGGGGGCACTAGTGCGGACTCACTCCTGAGCCGGTTCTGCGTGTTCATAAACGTACACAGAGAGTGGGCTTGGCCTTGCCCCTCCTCACTGTCTGTGATTGACAGCAGCGGGAGCCAACGGCTGCCACTGCTGTGTCTGAGCCTACGAGGAGGGAGAGGGCTGCTGCTCTTGCGCACATCGCTAGCTCAAGTAAGTAGGAGGGGCTGGGGGGGGGGGGGGTGGACGACTGCAATCATGCATACAGAGGGTTTTTTAATTTTTGTTTTTTTATTTTATTAGGTTTTTTTAGAAAAGGTTACAAAACAGAACCTCTGGGCAAGCCCCAGTACAAAATAGTACAAACACAAAATAAAGAAACAGAAAAAAAAAACCAAAGTGCTTAAAGTGGAGTTCCACTCACTCCACGCTGTAAAAAAATAAAAGTCAGCAGCTACAAAAACTGTAGCCGCTGATTTTTAAAATACAGCCACTTACCTGTCCCGCGATCCCGCGGTGTCCCCCCCACAGCCCTTTTCACCAGCCGTCTGGTGTTCCAGGCGCCGGCATCTTCAGATTGCGCAGTCATGCAACACTGTACACCATATGAATTTTTTAGCATTTTTTTGAGACAGATAAAACCTTTTTTTGGTGGTATTTATTTACCGCTGGGATTTTAATTTTTTTTGCTATATAAAGTAAAAAGTCCAAAAATTTTGAAAAAAAGTGTTTTTCTTATACAATTTTGCAAATAAATAAAATTTCTTCATAAACCTTGACCAAAATGTATTCAGTTATCTTTTTAGTAAAAAAAAAAAAACCCCAAATTAGTTTATAATCAAAAATCATAATTTTTAAAAAAATGTTTTACATTATTTTTTTTTATATTATGTTTTGGGTTTATTTTTACATACCCTCACCCTAGCAGTACAGTGTGACACTGTACTACTTGTGGGGGGTGATGAAGATTTTTTTTTTTTTACACAGATTGCTTTTACACCCATAAAGGCTGTATAAGCAATCATTTCTCCTTCTCTCTGGCTGCATTCTTGCAGCCATTGAGAAATACTGTGTGAGCTGTGATTGGTCGCACCTTGTCACGTGGTACAAGGCTGTTGTGAATGGCCCTGTACCATGTGACCTCTGTGATCATTCACAATTTCACACGTAGTAAGCAATGATGTCACAAGTGACATCTTGCTTACTACTCTGCATGTGATCACTGATTGGCTAATCAGTGATCACATGATCGGGACCTCACACAGAGGTCCCGTACAACTATCGATGTTCCACTGTGGGCACCGGATCGCGGTGCTGCGCGCTCCCCAGGGAGCAGGTAGGACGTTTATAAACGGTCACCCGCCCCTGCACTGCTCCCGTCCGGCCGTTTATATACATGGGCCGAACGGGAAGTGGTTAAGAGATGGCCCCACCCCACTGCCTGAGCAAGATCAATAAATCAGGGGAGTGGAAGAGTAGAGAACTGGGTCGCTCTATGACTGACCGGCTCTGCACCAAATAGTGGAGGTCTACCAGAGAGGCACAGAAACAGGAAAGGAGACATGTTCTTCATGTCCAATCTGCTCCGGGTGAAATTTGGAAACACAGCATTTTTGTCACCCTGCAGAGGATACCCCCCTTAAACAAATAAAAGTTTATTTTCCCATTTCACCACTGGTACCTACTTGACAGTGTTACTGAACCTAGTTGAGTTTTTCATGATGGCTGTCAGAGCAAAGCCTCGCGTAACCGATGTGGACATGTTGGAAATCAGAACACTTTCTAGAATATCCAATACCTCGTCCTCTGTGACCTAGATACAGATAAAATATATTACGTGCTGCCATGATTGCCAGTTTTCTCCTTTGCTATGTGACAGTGTCCTACCTGAATGGGCTCCTCTTCTTCACATTGACCAGATATTAGCAGGTCTCCATACTCCCCAATGCACCAAGAGGCTACCTGGACCAGCGGTTGCTGCGGGACAACAATTGCATCACATTTCATATACAACTGCTGGAGAACAGCCCCATCAGGTGGGGACACAGAGTACTACATGTATTAAAAGGTATCTAAATCAGGGGTCTCCAAACTTTCGATACAAAGGGCCAGTTTACTGCCCTTCAAACTTTAGGGGGGCCGGACTGTGGCAAGTGGGAGTAGAAAATGCCCCTGTATCAGTGGGAGTAAACAATGCCATAGGTTTGGTGGTCGGTGAAAGTAAAAAAAGTTACATCATTGGTGTCAGAGGAAGGAATAGTGCCCCATCATTGGTGTCAGTGGGAGGAATAGTAGCCCAACGTTGGTGTCAGTGGGGAGGAATAGTAGCCCATCATTGGTGTCAGTGGGAGGAATAGTGCCCCATCATTGGTGTCAGTGGGAGGAATAGTGCCCCATCATTGGTGTCAGTGGGAGGAATAGTGCCCCATCACTGGTGTCAGTGGGAGGAATAGCGCCCCATCATTGGTGTCAGTGGGAGGAATAGCGCCCCATCATTGGTGTCAGTGGGAGGAATAGCGCCCCATCATTGGTATCAGTGGGAGGAATAGCGCCCCATCATTGGTGTCAGTGGGAGGAATAGTGCCCCATCATTGGTGTCAGTGGGAGGAATAGTGCCCCATCATTGGTGTCAGTGGGAGGAATAGTGCCCCATCATTGGTGTCAGTGGGAGGAATAGTGCCCCATCATTGGTATCAGTGGGAGGAATAGTGCCCCATCATTGGTGTCAGTGGGAGGAATAGTGCCCCATCATTGCTATCAGTGGGAGGAATAGCGCCCCATCATTGGTGTCAGTGGGAGGAATAGTGCCCCATCACTGGTGTCAGTGGAAGGAATAGTGTCCCATCATTGGTGTCAGTGGGAGGAATAGTGCCCCATCATTGGTGTCAGTGGGAGGAATAGTGCCCCATCATTGGTGTCAGTGGGAGGAATAGTGCCCCATCATTGGTGTCAGTGAGAGGAATAGTGCCCCATCATTGGTGTCAGTGAGAGGAATAGTGCCCCATCATTGGTGTCAGTGAGAGGAATAGTGCCCCATCATTGGTGTCAGTGGGGGGGGGGGGGTTAAAGAGCACACTATCCATGCACAGGACCTGAGGAGGGGTGGAGAGGAGGGATCATGTTGCAGAGGGCCTCCCTCTTAGATTGTAAGCTCCCAGAATCGGGGCCCTCCAAACCCTCTTGTACTGATAGCGGTTAGCATGGTTTACCTGGGAGATGTCATCCAGAATGGCCTTGTAGAGCTTCTGTACAGTATATTCATGCATTTCGGAGCTATTTGTGATCAGTTGAATGAGATTAGGAACTGCGTCATCCCGCACGTAGCTTCCAGCCTAGAAAAACACGAGACAGAGAAAGAAAAATCAGAAGGTGAATCCATACAGACTGGACTCAAAGCTGAGCAACAGAGGCCTTGTAAAATTACCACCTCCAGCCTTTCAATATCCAATAAAAAAAATGTATTTATCTTACCAAGTTTGGTCCCTTTAGCAGACTGCCTCCATCATTGCCCCAAAAGGGGTTTTTAGATCAGTCAAGCACACCATAGCAGGTTAGGCACTATGGCCAACTTGGTAAGCCAGCTGACCTATTAATGTTTTGGGAGTGTAGAAGGGTGATTGAGCTCCTTGACAGAAACCATTTAAATAGTGGAAGACACTACAAATCCCATGTGGTGGAGAAGCTGACGATACCTGCACCCAGCGCCCCAGTGCTGCAAAATCAGTATTTATCACTGAGACACCATAATGCGCTCTGAGCAACGCATTTATTCCACACAGGAGAACCGACCGCAGACTAGAGCTACACTACATGGACAAAAGATTTGTGGACACCCGACCATCCATCTATACGAGCTCTATGACAATCCAGTTTCCTCCTAAAGCTTTTGAAGTTCTTATGAATGGGTCAGTACCAGGGGCTGACTATTAAAGCACTCGGGCACTGCCTGAGGGCCCAGGGTTAATAGGGGGCCCCATGAGATGCCCTGGTACCTTTCAGAGGCTTTTTTGGGTGTGGTTTGAGTGTGTGCGAGGACATAGGGGCCCCATGGTCCCCTATTGCCCGGGGGCCCCATGAGTTGTCAGTCCGCCCCTGGTCAGTACATTACACTAGTACCTTAAGGCTTCGTTCACATCGGTGTGGGTGGTGCCACAGTGGGATCCTCACACATACCTGCAGCTACACCACCACACAGAGGAATGCAGGACCCGCAGGCGGGTGCCATTAATTCTAACGGCAGGCCGCCCACATTGGAAATTGCAACTGTACTGGGAAACTCGGGCTGTGATTTCCCAAGTAGTGCAGGGACTTCTTCCCTGCGTGTCCCGGGGCACGGGAGTCCATTCAAATGAATGCAAATTGCAGCCCACTCGGCCGCACGTATGTGAACCAGGGATAAAGGGGTTCTAAAGGTGCAAGGTTTTCTTTTTCCTTAACTTCCCTAGCGGTCTGATGATGTCAGTATTTCTGTGCTCAAAGCGGTACATTGTTTTCAATGGAAATACGTCTTTTTTTATTGTAGGCCTGTAATTCTCAGGAATAACTCACTGAAATCTGTCCGAACAAGAGTCTAATAGACATCCCGGGTAGGATAAAATTTGAAACACGAAATCATAAATTATAATATAATCATAAAAAATAATATAATAAATGTAATTCAATAATGTCATCAAACCAAAAACACTGAAATATGAAATAGAGCGCCAAGTTCGCACATCGCTGAGCTCAGTCGCAGAATCGTTTTCAGTGTCTGATGAGGAATTTCCCCCACCAATCATTATCACTCAATTCTGCAAGTGGTTCTGATTTACTATCGCTGTTCTCTAGCCGGTCTAAAACCGCTTTTGACCTAAAGGGACGCTTTTTTGGACGCCATGGACGTTTCTCAGTTTCCAGGCAGAAAGAACAGTAATAATGCAGGCAGGGCGCCGGACAAAGCACTCGGGACACAATGTATGTGAAATGGTTTGATACAGGAATGTTATACTATGTGATTTTAGTGTATTATGTGTATGTAAAATTTTGACATTTCTGAATCTCCCGCCAGTTCTGTCCCCCGTATGTTCCGACGTTCAGGGAACGGAACCCGGAAGACAGATGCCGGCATCGGCCGGGAGATGTCCGGGGACGCAGCGGGAGGACAGCGTGGGACAAGTTAAGTGATCCAGGGATCCCAGAGCAACGCTGCAGTGTAATCCTGAGTGTAACTCGGGGTTACTGCTTCTGGTACCGAAACTTAACCCCGAGCTACACTCGGGAATACCGCCAGGGGGGTTAATGTATCATTCCTTCCCAATCATCACCTGAGCCGGTTCTCGATCTAGCGATGTGCACCAGTCCTCATTGGACAGAGAGGCAGCAAAGGGAAACCTTGGTTCCTACTACTGTCAATCATAGCCAGTGTGGAGAAAGCGGGGGCAGGGCCAAGCTGGGCTGTGTGTGTCAATGGACACAGAGCTGGCTCAGGAGCGCACGCACAAGTGCCCCCATAGCAAGTAACATGCTAGGGGGGCACTCGGCATGGCAGAAAAGCTCAGCACCAGTGGGGGACTCTAGAAGAGGAGGATCGGGGGGGTACTCTATGCAATTCCATTGCACAGAGCAGGAAAGTATAACATGTTATTTAAAAAAAAAAATAAAACTGCATTTAGAATCATTTAAAGTTCTACACAGCTAAAGTCATGACTTCGTTACACTTTATGCGAATAATCTGATACTTACTGTAGTGAGGACTCTCATTATTGTGTCTATGTGCCACCGCTTTGATGGTGCATACCTGAAAACAGTTAAATAAAACAGGCAGAATGAGTTTTAAGGTAGGCCTAAGACGTGTGCATTGCTCTGTGCGACTCTGCGCAGTGACAAGTCGCTGACACTGCTGGGGCTCTTTGGGAAGAGACATACTTTTCTGCTGCTAAGAAGATGCCCGAGGCACAGTCTGCTTTAAATTCGGGTTCACAAGAGTCCAAGAAGTAAAGCAGCTCCTTCATCATGCCGCGGATGTTGTTGCCATTCACCAGTGCAAAACTCAGCTCCATAGCTCGCCTGGAACGAGAAGGGTTTAATGAACGCTGTGTAAGAGAGCAAGTCTTACAGCTGAACTCCAGAGACATTTCAAAAGCTATGCTTTCAGTGGGGGCTCCTCTGCACTGCAAGGGTTAAAGATGAATTCCAGTAATTCATCTACTTTGCAAACAAATGCCAGCATACCATGAGTTACGTCTAATGAGGTGCCTGCAGCCTCCTGTATTCACATCTGACAGCTTTATTGTGCTTCAGGAAGATAACTTCCAAAGCTGCTCACTGTGGTCTCAGGTCCTTCTCGAGCAGAGTCATTGAACAGCTATACCCGCCTCTCCCCTCCGTCTGCCCGTTCACAGAAGCCTTTGCATTACGTGAACTCATTCACAAAATACAAAGGCTTCTGTGACTAGACAGCAGAGGGGAGAGCGGGCATAGCTGCTCTGTATGCTTCTCTCCTCTCACAGCCAGTGTGTATCCTCCAGGAGTGCAATAAACCTGTCACATATAGTGTCCCGGGTGGTGACATGCATCTAATTGGACTTAACTCCTAGTGTTCCTGCACTTTATGCAAAGTTGCTGAATTCCTCGAATTCAGCTTTAAATGCTTGTCCCTGTCTAAGGTACCATTAAAAATCAGCGTAACTTATCTTATCCCCCTGCTGCCCCAGTAGCCTGCGCTCTTCTCTCTACAAACAACCACCTTACACCAAACGCCCCTGGTCAGGCCCCAAGCGTCCTCACAATCCATGACTGATGGTCCTGCTTTGGTCACAATGATGTCAGAATACAACAGATGAAGTACCGAATAAAAGAAACTTAAGAGGAGCAAGGGAGGAGGCAAACTAAATGTGGTTTAATAGTACCCTAAACAAAAATAGGCATTTAATCCTTGCAGGGCAGGGGGAGCCCCACGGAAAGGGTAGTTTTGAAATTTCCCAGGAGTGCAGCTCTAAAGCACATGTCAAGGCAAAATATTCACAAAATAAATACAATTATATATATATATATATATATATATATATATATATATATACACACACACACACACACACACATATATATATATATATATATATATATACACACACACACATATATATATACACACACACACACACATATATATATATATATATATATATACACACACACACATATATATACACACACACACACACATATATATATATATATATATATATATATATACACACACACACACGTGTGACAAAAAAGTATTTAGTCCGCCACCAATTGTGCAAGTTCTCCCACTTACAAAGATGAGAGAGGCCTGTAATTGGCATCATATGTAGACCATCAGCAAGGGCATTGAAGATGAAACGTGGCTGGGTCTCCCAACATGACAGTGATCCCAAACATACCGCCCGGGCAACGAAGGAGTGGCTTCGTAAGAAGCATTTCAAGGTCCTGGAGTGGCCTAGCCAGTCTCCAGATCTCAACCCCATAGAAAACCTTTGGAGGGAGTTGAAAGTCCGTGTTGCCCAGCGACAGCCCCAAAACATCACTGCTCTAGAGGAGATCTGCATGTAGGAGGAGATCTGCATGGAGGATGGGCCAACATACCAGCAACAGTGTGTGCCAACCTTGTGAAGACTTCCAGGAAACGTCTGACCTCTGTCATTGCCAACAAAGGATATATAACAAAGTATTGACATGAACTTTTCATATTCACCAAATACTTATTTTCCACCATAATTTGCAAATAAATTCTTTCCAGATCAGCCAATGTGATTGTCTGGATTTGTTTTCTCATTTTGTCTCTCATAGTTGAGGTCTCCCTATGATGCCAATTACAGGCCTCTCTCATCTTTGTAAGTGGGAGAACTTGCACAATTGGTGGTGACTAAATACTTTTTTGCCCCACAGTATATATATATATACATATAGCATGACCAGCATTAGTCATCCCAGAGCTGCCCACACAGAACATTGGTGCACATAGACTCCAGGTGTAGTGTATGATCAGTACTGGATGTCCCGCTCTACAGGCTGCTCTTAGTATCAAGGATACAAGTGTGTATTGCAGTGCTGCGACTTCTGTTTTTGTTGGACAATATACTATTGTGGCTTTTGGACTTAGGGCTGGAAGGATATATATATATATATACACATACACACACACACATCTCCTCGTTTTTTACCGCTTTTAAAGTCGCTAAAAAAAATACAGACAATATATCAGTTAATCTGCAAGACAAGCACTCTGATTTTATCGCCCTCTTCCCCTCCCGACTTTTTTTTGTCCACAATCAGCTATATGTCGGGGAGCATCACTATCCATTTGATTTGCTGATTTGGTCAGCCGTTGTTGCTCTGTGATTTGGTCACGAATGTCACCATTTTGTATCAGTTTCAATGCTTAATTCAACTTTCAAAAAAAATGTATGGAAAATAAATCTTTGACTGTCTACTTCTCTAATTTCTACTGAAAAGCAAAACCCCAGTTTTAGCCGGGATGACCATTTACAGAATTCTAAGCCCCGGATGTTGTCAGTTTATTGAAGATCAGCACAGGGAGTCAGTCGATGGATCACTCAACAATCATCATTCAACAATCCCAGGGCCTGTGCATGAAAGAGAATTGAAGTGGGGATACCAGCTGCCATGTTGGTGTAAGCAATACCGAAAGGCTTCAACATCAGCACTTTGTAATATATGTACAGTTAAAGAGACACTGTCACCTAACACGCACCCCTCCCCCAGGAGTCCACCCTAGAAAGCTGCAGTGCGAGAACTTAAAGCGGAGTTCCACCCAAAAATGGAAGCTCCATTTAAATTGCCTCCTCCCTCCCTCCAATGCCACATCTGGCACCTTTTGGGGGGTGAGGGTACCTGATTTTTGACAGGTACCCGTTCCCACTTCCAGCTCAGTTTGCCGCAGCAATCTGACCTGGAAGTCTGCCCCACCCTCTTTCCCCCTTCTGGAAGTCTAGCCCCACACTCTTTCCCCCTTCTGGAAGTCTAGCCCCACACTCTTTCCCCTTCTGGAAGTCTGCCCCACCCTCCTTCCCCCTTCTGGAAGTCTGGTCCCACCCTCCTTCCCCCTTCTGGAACACTTCAAAGGTCTTTGCTCTTTCCTTGGTATATGTTTTTGGAAGCTCCGCCTATCTGTCTGCTCCTCCCCCCCCTCTGCTGCCATTACTTGCACCTTTTGGGGGGGTGAGCAGGTACCTGGTTTTGACCGGTACTCGTTCCCTCTTCTGGCCAAGTTCGACCCATAAAGGTTGTAAAAAGCCATCATCTCTCCTTCTCTCAGTCTGAATTCTTGCAGCCATTGCGAAATACTGAGAGAGCTGTGATTGGTCACAGCTTGTCACATGGTACAAGGCTGTTGTGAATGGCCCTGTACCATGTGACCTCTGTGATCATTCATAGATTTCACTAGTAGTAGACAACGATGTCAGGAAGTGACATCTTGCTTACTACTATTCATGTGATCACTGATTGGCCAATCAGGGATCTTATGAATCGGGACCTCACACAGAAGTCCCGTATGGCGATTGGTGTTTCGCTGTGTCTGGAAGACAGTGGGCACCGGATTGTGGTGCCGCGCGCTCCCAGGGAGCGTGCACAGGCTGTGAATGCGGGCTCTTTTTATGAACGGCAACCCGCTCCCGTACTGCTCCCGTCCGGCCGTTTATGTGCATGGACCGGACAGGAAGTGGTTAACAACAAATCAGCTTCCAGGTTTTATTGCCAAATCTTAATTCAACAAGGTGAAGGTAGAAGCTGACCGGCTAGCATGCACAGCTGCACCAGATCCCGAGTGCTCCAGTTTTAGTAATTCTACCCCACTGCTACTTTGCCCTGAACATTTAAATGGGCAAATGACAGGGCCTCTTAGTATTCTGCCACAAAAAAAAAAAAAAAAAACACCTCTCACTCTACTCTACAACAAACCAATGTTACCTCTTTATTGAGACATCCAAATCCTTTAGACAGTCCACGATGGTGCTGCGGTGCCTCTGTACTGCATTGTGGTCGGTCTGTACAGTTTTGAGTAAGGACGTCAAAGCCACATATCTGGAGAAATGACACGTCTGTTACTGGGAGCTCACAGGACATCAAAGGATCAAACATCAAAATGGTATGAAGGCCTACAGAGGGCTTACCTAATATTCTTGTCATTATTTAATAAAAACCGTCCTAGGATATTAATAGCTAGAACCTGTTATGGAGAAGAGAGAAAGTAACTCATGAGAACGTAAGTAAGGCAATCACCACGCAGACACAAAGCGTAGGAACTGATATGAAGACAGTATTCGGTATTTGCTGGGAGAACGCTTATTATGGTGCTAATTGTGTAAACACTTCAAGTCCGGATACTTTCACCAATCAGTGATCACATGCAGAGTAGTAAGCAACATGTCACTTCTGACATCATTGCTTACTACGTGTGAAATTTGTGAATGATCACAGAGATCACATGGTACAGGGCCATTCACAACAGCCTTGTACCATGTGACAAGCTGTGACCGATCACAGCTCACATAGTAGTTCTCAATGGCTGCAAGAATGCAGCCAGAGAGAAGGAGAAATTATTGCTTTTACAGCCTTTATGGGTGTAAAAGCAATCAGTGTAAAAAAAAAAAAAAAAAAAAAAAAAAAAAACTCATCACCCCCCACAAGTAGGACAGTGTTACCATGGTGACAATGTACTGCTAGGGTGACAGTATGTAAAAAAAAAAATATATAAAAAAAATAAAATAAAAATGTAAAAAAAAAAAGGTTTAAAAATTATAATTTTTGGTTATAAACTAATTTGGGTTATTTTATTTTTACTAAAAAGAGAACGGAATACATTTTGGCCAAGATTTATGATGAAATATTATTATTTGCAAAATTTGATAAGAAAAACACTTTTTTCAAAATTTTGGGACTTTTTCATTTGTATAGCAAAAAAAAATAAAAATCCCAGTGGTGAATAAATACATCCAAAATAAAGCTTTATCTGTCTAAGAAAATGCTAAAAAATTCATATGGGAAGTGTTGCATGACCGCGCAATTGTGTGGGATAGTGCTGAAAGCTCAAAATTGGCCTGGACTGGAAGGCGGGTGAAAGTGTCCGGACTGGAAGGGGGTGGGGGGGGGGGGGAGTGTCCGGACTGGAAGGGGGGGGGGGGGGGGAGTGTCCGGACTGGAAGGGGGGGGGGGGTGTGTCCGGACTGGAAGGGGGGGGGGGGGAGTGTGTCCGGACTGGAAGGGGGGGGGGGGGGGGGGGAGTGTCCGGACTGGAAGGGGGGGGGGGGGGGGGGGGGAGTGTCCGGACTGGAAGGGGGGGGGGGGGGGAGTGTCCGGACTGGAAGGGGGGGGGGGGGGGGGGAGTGTCCGGACTGGAAGGGGGGGGGGGGGGGAGTGTCCGGACTGGAAGGGGGGGGGGGGGGAGTGTCCGGACTGGAAGGGGGGGGGGGGGGAGTGTCCGGACTGGAAGGGGGGGGGGGAGTGTCCGGACTGGAAGGGGGGGGGTGTGTCCGGACTGGAAAGGGGGGGGGAAGTGTCCGGACTGGAAGGGGGGGGGGGGGAAGTGTCCGGACTGGAAGGGGGGGGGGGAAGTGTCCGGACTGGAAGGGGGGGGGGGGGGGGGGAGTGTCCGGACTGGAAGGGGGGGGGGGGGTGGGGAGTCCGGACTGGAAGGGGGGGGGGGGGGGGGGGAAAGTGTCCGGACTGGAAGGGGGGGGGGGGAGTGTCCGGACTGGAAGGGGGGGGGGGGGGGGGGGAGTGTCCGGACTGGAAGGGGGGGGGGGGGGGGGAGTGTCCGGACTGGAAGGGGGGGGGGGGGGGAGTGTCCGGACTGGAAGGGGGGGGGGGGGGGAGTGTCCGGACTGGAAGGGGGGGGGGGGAAGGGGGGGGGGGGAGTGTCCGGACTGGAAGGGGGGGGGGGGAGTGTCCGGACTGGAAGGGGGGGGGGGGGGGGGGTGAGAGTGTCCGGACTGGAAGGGGGGGGGAGTGTCCGGACTGGAAGGGGGGGGGAGTGTCCGGACTGGAAGGGGGGGGGAGTGTCCGGACTGGAAGGGGGGGAAAAGTGGGGGGGGGGGGGAGTGTCCGGACTGGAAGGGGGGGGGGGGAGTGTCCGGACTGGAAGGGGGGGGGGGAGTGTCCGGACTGGAAGGGGGGGGGGGGAGTGTCCGGACTGGAAGGGGGGGGGGGGGGGGGGAAGGGGGTGTCCGGACTGGAAGGGGGGGGGGGGGGAGGGGAAGTGTCCGGACTGGAAGGGGGGGGGGGGGGAGAGTGTCCGGACTGGAAGGGGGGGGGGTAGTGTCCGGACTGGAAGGGGGGGGGGAAGTGTCCGGACTGGAAGGGGGGGGAGGAAGTGTCCGGACTGGAAGGGGGGGGAGGAAGTGTCCGGACTGGAAGGGGGGGGGGGGGGGGGGGGGCTTGAGGGGGAAGTGTCCGGACTGGAAGGGGGGGGGAAGTGTCCGGACTGGAAGGGGGGGGGGGGGGGGGAAGTGTCCGGACTGGAAGGGGGGGGGGAAGTGTCCGGACTGGAAGGGGGGGGGGGGGGGGGAGGGAGTGTCCGGACTGGAAGGGGGGGGGGGGAAGTGTCCGGACTGGAAGGGGGGGGGGGAGGGGGGGGAAAGTGTCCGGACTGGAAGGGGGGGGGAGTGTCCGGACTGGAAGGGGGGGGGGGGGGGGGAAGTGTCCGGACTGGAAGGGGGGGGGGAGTGTCCGGACTGGAAGGGGGGGGGGGAGTGTCCGGACTGGAAGGGGGGGGGGGAAGTGTCCGGACTGGAAGGGGGGGGGGGAGGAAGTGTCCGGACTGGGAAGGGGGGGGGGAGGAAGTGTCCGGACTGGAAGGGGGGGGGGGGGGAAGTGTCCGGACTGGAAGGGGGGGGGGAAAGTGTCCGGACTGGAAGGGAAGGGGGGGGGGGAAGTGTCCGGACTGGAAGGGGGGGGGGGGTGTCCGGACTGGAAGGGGGGGGAGGAAGTGTCCGGACTGGAAGGGGGGGGGGAAGTGTCCGGACTGGAAGGGGGGGGGGGAGTGTCCGGACTGGAAGGGGGGGGGGGGAAGTGTCCGGACTGGAAGGGGGGGGGGGGGGGGGAGTGTCCGGACTGGAAGGGGGGGGGGGGGGGGAGTGTCCGGACTGGAAGGGGGGGAGGAAGTGTCCGGACTGGAAGGGGGGGGGGGGGGGGGGGAGTGTCCGGACTGGAAGGGGGGGGGGGGGGAAGTGTCCGGACTGGAAGGGGGGGGGGGGGGGAGTGTCCGGACTGGAAGGGGGGGGGGGGGGGGGGGGGGGAGTGTCCGGACTGGAAGGGGGGGGGGAAGTGTCCGGACTGGAGTGGGGGGGGGGGAAGTGTCCGGACTGGAAGGGGGGGGGAGGAAGTGTCCGGACTGGAAGGGGGGGGGGGGGGGAAGTGTCCGGACTGGAAGGGGGGGGGGGGGGGGGAGTGTCCGGACTGGAAGGGGGGGGTGGGGAAGTGTCCGGACTGGAAGGGGGGGGGGGGGGGGAGTGTCCGGACTGGAAGGGGGGGGAGGGGAGTGTCCGGACTGGAAGGGGGGGGGGGGGGGGGGAGTGTCCGGACTGGAAGGGGGGGGGGGGGGGGAGTGTCCGGACTGGAAGGGGGGGGGGGGGGGAGTGTCCGGACTGGAAGGGGGGGGGGGGGAGTGTCCGGACTGGAAGGGGGGGGGGGGGGAAGTGTCCGGACTGGAAGGGGGGGGGGGGGGGAAGTGTCCGGACTGGAAGGGGGGGGGGGGGGAAGTGTCCGGACTGGAAGGGGGGGGGGGGGGGAGTGTGTCCGGACTGGAAGGGGGGGGGGGGGTGGGAGTGTCCGGACTGGAAGGGGGGGGGGGGGGGGAAGTGTCCGGTTAAGTGGTTAATAACAGTTGAAATAAACAGAGTGTGAGATGCAGAGCGGTAGAAGAGGAAAGTACATGAGATGAGATGAGATGTCGGAAAGGAAAGAGGATATAAAATCAGAGCAGAAAAACACGGGCCCTGAGGAAGGACAGAGAGGGGTCCCTGGCGATTAGCTCTCCAGCACACACACCCGCAGGCCACTTTCCGACTTGATGTCCATGATTGTTAAGACCGTTTCATACAGGATGGCATTACCAACGTTTTTGCTGGTCTCTGTGTTTGTAGCAACCTGGAAAAGAAAGAATAAAAAAAATGTAAAGCACCTCAGACAATCCCTGTATCTCACGTCACCATAAAACATAATTATCCCATCCGAAGGAGGCGACCTCAGGAGGAATTGCAGCAGTAAGTGGAAACACAGAACAGATTATGTGTGTTCTGGGAGAGCCCCATACAAATCTATGGGGGTTCAAGGTGCAGAGACCACCAGAGTCAGAGGATTTCTGTCCTTTACGGAGGTAGGTAAGAAGCTGGGATGTGGAGTGTGAACTCAAAAACTGGTGTGGGAGTGTTGCTGTGGAGCAAGGGCAGGGAAGTTAAATTCCTATTGTTGAATTCCCATCGCCGCATACCCGGGACATGTAGTTCCGGGCAGGTAGTTTTTTTTTTTTTTATCTTTTTAACCTTTGCCATGCTGCGGGCAAGCAGCAGGGCTCACCTATCAGGTGGAAGCATCCGGGCAGCAGCACTGCCACCTGAATGCTTCCACACACTGCCAGCCCCCCCCCCCCCCCCCCCCCCCCCCCCCCCCCCCCCCCCCCCCCGTTGAACTTGGCAGCACAGCGGCTAAATGGTTAGCACTTCCGCCAGGGCAGTACTCGGGTCGTTAGTTTGAATCCCAACCACGGTACCGCCTGCCTGGAGTTTGCATGTTCTCCCTGCGTCTGTGTGGGTTTCCTCCGGGTACTCCAGTTTCCTCCCACACTCCAAAGACATGCTGGGAGGTTAATTGGATCCTGTCTAAATTGGCCCTAGTATGTGTATGTATGAATGTGAGGTAGCCCTTCTTTACGGTTATTAGGAGGAATTGTGCCCCATCATTGGTGTCATTGGGTCCCGGTGTCAGCATCATTGTGAGGAATTGGGCCTCATTGTAGGTGTCATCGGGAGGAATTCTGCCCCATAACTGGTGTCATTGGGAGGAATTGTGCCCCTTCTTTGGTGTCAGTGGAGGAATTATGCCTCATTGTTGGTATCAGAGGATAGAATAGTGCCCCAGGGGCTGGATAAACAAAGGGCCACATCTGAGCTTGGAGACCACTGCTGTAGAGGATTTCATTGTAAATATGCAGAATATGATGGGCTCAAAGAAAATGCACTTTAAAGCAGTGGTCTCCAAACTTCCAAGCTCCAGTTCCCTGTCCTTCAGACTTTGGGGAAGGGGAGGGGGGGTGTTAGACTGAGGCCAGTGGGAGTAGAAAACGCCCTGTTGTCAGTGGAAGTAAAAAATGCCCCATCGTTGGTGTCACTGGTAAGTATACATTAGGAGAAACTGTGCCCCTTCACTGGTGTTGGTGGGAGGACACCATAAGGCTGTTGTAACAGTAAGTTTCACTCTCACTTTTGCAATTTTCACGCAAAATTTGATGTTGACCCGCTTCCTCCAGATTCCTGTCACTCATTTTCCACCAACAGCGCAACGCACACACGTGTTGTTTCTTCTACTACTCTATATAGACCGAGTCCACTGGACCGCAACCCAGGAGAGTGAAAGTTAGAACATGTCAGAACACACTCGAGTGCGAACGGCTGTGTGAATCCCCACCATAGTAATGCGCCGCGGGCATTCCAGGAATTAAATTGTCACACCTCGTAGAATTGCTCAACAAACCAGCGCTTCAGTGTGACACTGCTGCATATTACCATTGATGTGGAGCACCTTTCAATAATTACAAATCTTCCTGGAAGGACGATATTGAGCATATTTGTAAGGCAAAAAAAAAGGCTCTAGCACAGCGGTTGTCAACCTGTAGGTCGCGACCCCTTTGGGGGTCGAACGACCCTTTCACAGGAGTCGCCTAAGACCATCAGAAAACACCGATATTTGAGCAGCTACTGTGTTGAAAGCCGATGTGTTGAATGAAAGCAGCTACTGTGTTGAAAGCAGGTGTTGAAAGCAGCTACGGTGTTGAAAGCAGCTACGGTGTTGAAAGCAGCTACGGTGTTGAAAGCAGCTACTGTGTTGAAAGCAGCTACTGTGTTGAAAGCAGCTACTGTGTTGTTGTGAAAGCAGCTACGGTGTTGAAAGCAGCTACGGTGTTGAAAGCAGCTACGGTGTTTGAAAGCAGCTACGGTGTTGAAAGCAGCTACGGTGTTGAAAGCAGCTACGGTGTTGAAAGCAGCTACGGTGTTGAAAGCAGCTACGGTGTTGAAAGCAGCTACGGTGTTGAAAGCAGCTACGGTGTTGAAAGCAGCTACTGTGTTGAAAGCAGCTACTGTGTAGAAAGCAGCTACTGTGTAGAAAGCAGCTACTGTGTAAAGAAAAGCAGCTACTGTGTTGAAAGCAGCTACTGTGTTGAAAGCAGCTACTGTGTTGAAAGCAGCAGTATTGGAGGTAAAAGGACACTCATGAATTATAATTACTGGGTAAATAATTTTATGGTTGGGGGTCACCACAACATGAGGAACTGTATTAAAGGGTCACGGCATTAGGAAGGTTGAGAACTACTGCTCTAGCACCTCTTGCTCTATACATCCAAGCAGTCAAGTTACTACCCACCTGTGCCAAAATATCATTCATGGCTTCACTCGAGTCGTCGTCATTTCTGCCGAGAATTCGGAGAAGCCTTAATATCCGCACCTAGTAAAGGAAACCCGAAAAAAAAATTCAATTATTCAGATGTCCCCGCTATGACTGCCCAAACCATCGAATATCTAGTCCAGCTGCTGCTGCGGCCAATACTCGCCTGCAGAAAGGGGTCGCTGATTCCGGACACGTCGTGTTCCGGAGAATATCCGGACATAATTAGATTTTTAAGAATACGAACTAGCTGAGGAACAAGCTGTTGAGAAAGATCACAGATCATCACGTAAGTTACATTTGTCATTGGTTTTTTTTTAATTCATAAACACATTTTATTATGAAAATCTATACTAGCGCTACAGCAAGCTTTAGAATCCTCGATATACAGATTACTGCTGAATAAGAGGTTTTAAAACATCTACACCTACTTCTAAATTTGGTTTTACAACTCTAACCATAAGGGAAGTACATTTGGGTGGAGCTCCAAGAAGCTCCGGTGGAAGGGTGCTGGCATACAGTGAGTCCGGCCCGGCTCAACGTGCATGGAAACAAGAAGAGCCCAAACGCTGCACACCTACAAGAGCCTAGGTATCCAACAAGTAAAACTGGCTTCGGCCTGGCTCCATTCAGGCCACATGGTCGACGCGTTTCACCCCACCCAGTCATGGAGGACTTCATGACTAAGCCCTATGGATGGGGAAACCCACCAGGGAGTGTGGCCTGGATGACGTCAGGCTGATATTGCTTTTACTAGTTTGATACCTAGGCTCTTGCAGTGTTTGGGCTTTTCTTCTGACTTCCTTCGTCCCATTTATCTACCGGGGTTTGTACCAATTAACACAGTTATAGATCAAGGTCTTCTTGGCAATGCAAAAGAATATACAGATTACTGCTTAATAAGAGGTTTTAAAACATCTACACCTACTTCTAATTTGGTTTTGCAACTGCAACCATTAGGGAAGTACGTTTGGTTGGCGCTCCAAGAAGCTCCGGTGGAAGGGTGCTGGCATAGTGAGTCTGACCCGGCTCAAAGTGCATGGAAACAAGAGGAAAAGCCCAAATGCTGCACACCTACAAGAGCCTAGGTATCCAACAAGTAAAACTGGCTTCGGCCTGGCTCCATTCAGGCCACATGGTCGACGCGTTTCACCCCACCCAGTCATGGAGGACTTCATGACTAAGCCCTATGGATGGGGAAAACCCACCAGGGAGTGTGGCCTGGATGACGTCAGGCTGATATTGCTTTTACTAGTTTGATACCTAGGCTCTTGCAGTGTTTGGGCTTTTCTTCTGACTTCCTTCGTCCCATTTATCTACCGGGGTTTGTACCAATTAACACAGTTATAGATCAAGGTCTTCTTGGCAATGCAAAAGAATATACAGATTACTGCTTAATAAGAGGTTTTAAAACATCTACACCTACTTCTAATTTGGTTTTGCAACTGCAACCATTAGGGAAGTACGTTTGGTTGGCGCTCCAAGAAGCTTCGGTGGAAGGGTGCTGGCATAGTGAGTCTGACCCGGCTCAACGTGCATGGAAACAAGAGGAAAAGCCAAATGCTGCACACCTACAAGAGCCTAGGTATCCAACAAGTAAAATTGGCTATGGCTTGGCTCCACTCAGGCCACATGGTCGACGCATTTCACCCCACCCAGTCATGGAGGACTTCATGACTAAGCCTTATGGATGGGAAATTCCATCAGGGAGTGTGGCCTGGATGACGTCAGGCTGATACTGCTTTTACTAGTTTGATACCTAGGCTCTTGCAGTGTTTGGGCTTTTCTTCTGATTTCCTTCGTCCCATTATTCCTAAATCGACAGGGGTTTGTACCAATTAATACAGCTGTAAATGAAGGTCTTTCTGGCAATGCAAAAGAATAAAGAGCTTTGAACGGTTTATTAATGTGGACCACCAACATTGCCAAGAGGGTTGTGAACTTGGCCCATCAGTCTAGTGAAAAAGCAAACATATACAGAGGATGGACAGAAGTATGAAAACACCAGGTAAAAGAACACATTTTTACCCAATATGGTGTTGGACGGCCTTTGGCCTGAATTCTCCAATTCTCCTGGGAATTCGGACAGAATTATGGAAACTCCAGGTAAAAGAACACATTTTTACCCAATATGGTGTTGGACGGCCTTTGGCCTGAATTCTCCTGGGAATTGACAGATATAAGTCTTGGATGGTGGATAATGGAATCCGATACCTTCACGGAAAATAAATAGCTCCAGTTCTCGCATGCCAGGAGGTGGAAAACAAGCCCGAACCTTGTTCTCCAAAGTTGACCACAGTGGCTCTACGATATTGAGGCACAGCACCCAGGGAAGGTGCGAGACTTCATCTGCATGCTCCTCAAATCACGAATTGACATCAGCTGTGTGAATCAGCGAAATATCGTCTTGGTAAATGGCGCTGTCTTTGGGAAACAATGTCTGCATCATGGGGTGCACATGGTCAGGTCAAAATTTGTACATAGTCGCTGGTAGTGGAGAGAGAGTGAGGGAGTGTGAGAGGTGTGTGTGGGGTGTGTCTAATTTCAGTTCACTCTGGTTACATGATCCTCTATGTCAGCCAGTGGTGGCTTCAGGGGAGAGGAGAGAGCACTTAACAGCGTGCTTGTACATGTGTGTTTGTCTGTGTATGCATGAAACATGTGTCTGAGTATGTACATGTGTGTATCTGTATATGTGTCTGTGTGTATGTACATGAATGTGTGTACATGTGTCTGTGTGTTTATGTATGTACACGTGTCTGTGCGTGTGTATTTCTGTGTATGTACGTTTATGTGTTTATGTGTTTCTTTACATGCCTGTGCGTGTATACATGTGTCTGTGTGTGTGTGTACGTATCTCTGTGCGTGTGTGTACATGTTTCTGTGTGTGTATGTGTATGCACATGTCTGTGTGTGTACAGGTGTCTTTGTTTGTGTGTGTTTGTTGGTGGCAAGTAACTCTTAAGGCCTGGCTAGTAGCTCAGGATGTGAACTTTTAAGCCCTGTACTATACTATTGGGTAAAATACTACTTCGGAAGTTTGTTTCCATGTAGGCCCCTATTGGCTTTCCACCTTTTGCCATTAATATTGGGAATCAAGTCTCTTGGGGTTTCCCTGGTTTTCCGGCCTGCTGCAGTCTTTACACCCCCATATCTGACCCCTAGAATGTCTCCCCCCCCCCTCCCACCTTGGATTCAGAGGAGGCTTTCCCCTGTGTGACTGAAGGGTCCACTGCTGTCTGGTGCATAACGGTCTATTTTGTAAGTGTAACAACTTTATAATGCTTAATTGTGTTCATGATTTTCTGTTTGTCTAAGTATATGAATCTCTTTTAGATATATAATGAGCCCCCTGAGGAAGCGACTGTTGTCACAAAACACGTCGGGCATTCTCTTCAGTCTTTGAATGTTCCTTGCCCCCCCACAGGGATTACTTTGGTGGTAATTTTTACGCTGTATCACTGGTTGTCATCCTTTTGAATATATAGTGGGGTTTGGGACATTCATTGCGGGTACACCGTACAACAATACTTTATCCACAATTTTCTATATGTGATGTTAAATAAAGGAACATTGATCTTACTTTTCTGCGTATGTAGTCTCTGTGCCTATAAAGTCCACTTATACAACCTCCTTTTTTATAAATATGATTGTGTCGCCACCATGCTTTACAGTTGGCGCAAGACAGTCCTGTTGGAAAGCTCAGGGAGCGTTCACCACACATAAACACACCCGGTGGTTAGGAACAATGTGAAGATCGATTGATCGGACAATATTAAATTCTTCCATTGATCCATAGTCCATGATATATGGGTGCTGCACCACTGTCTTTTTCTGAGCATTGATATCGGTCACTAGTGGTTTGGCCATCGCCGCTCGCCCGTGAACGTTTTGCTTCTGGAGTTCCTTCTGCACAGTTTATGTGGACACGGGCTTTGGAAGACTGAGATTGAGCTCTGCAGTCACTTTCGTAGCAGTTGTTTTCCTATTCCGGGGACACCATCCTGCGCAATGTCCTTTGTCTCTTTCGGTTAGGTGACCGCGTCAACCGCGCTCATACTTATCAGGCGACGTACGAAACAGTACATACCGTCATAATCTTTGATACTGCATCTCCCGACACGGCAAACTGACTTCAGTCACAGAGGCACCAGCTAAGCGGCACCAACAATTTGCCCTCTTTGAAGCTCAGTATGCTCTGAGATGACTCCGTATTACTAGCAGTGCACGCAGTGAATGAGGAAAATGAGGCTTCCCACTTGTTAGCTAGGTGTCTCATCACACAGCGGAAGCAAAAGGGATGTTACATCACTCCCATTTTCACCGGCAGAGATGTTGTCCCTTTCACACCTACAAATCATGTCGTGTTTCCATACTTTTGTCCAACCCTGTACATTTACATATGGTTCCTATAAATGGTGATAAACATGCAATGCATCTCAGCTGGCATGCAGGGAATTGTAGGTTAGCGGGGCTTCATCTTTCTGCATCTTCAAAAGTCCCTTCCACTAGTACCAGCGGGCTGGAAGCCTTTTGAAGATGTTGCAGCAAATAAAGGGCATCAGTGTTCCCCACATAAACAGGAATATAGTAAGAAATGGGGACGTTGATGGTGGTTAGAAACCCTAAACATTAAAGCGGAGTTCCAGTTGAAAGAAAAAATAAAAAATAAAAGTCAGTGGCTACAAAAACGGCAGCTGCTGACGTTTAAAAATACAGACACCTACCTGTCCTCGGTCCAGCGATGTCCTCACCGCGGCTGGTTTCACCGGCCGTCTTCTCTTTCCGGCATCTTCAGCGTGGGCACCCGGCTGTGAAGCCGCAAGCTGCCCACTGCGCATGCGCGAGTAGCACTGCGCTTTGTGAATGGGCCCCGTAGTCATCTGGGACCTGTCACGTGTTCCAGAAGACTACGGGGAGGAAGGCAACTTCCGCTTCCGATCATCTTAGGCGATCGCAGCAGAAGTCGGAGTGTGTACCTGTCAAATTCATGTACCTACTCATGTACCCCACTCCCCCTCCTGCTCCCCAAAGCTGCCAAATGGGGAGCAAGGAACAAAGGATTAAAGCGGAACTTCCCCCTTTTGGGTGGAGCTCCGCTTTCACGTAACAAAAGTTTAGGATTTAGTAACCCCCCCTCACCACCACCTCACCTTATCTGAGTCTTCATTCCATCTGGCTTTGCGCACACTTGCAACTCTTCTCTCCTTTCACTTTCTGGTCTCTCTGGCTTTGGCCACTGGCTCCCGCTGCTGTCAATCA